CAACCCTTCAACCATCAAGATATGAGCGTAATGTGGATTAACTGCCACCGGATAGAAGATAGTGAGGCCTATAGAAGATTTCTGACTATTTCCTGTCCAACTCGAACTACACATTTTTGACACGCCAGACAATGCATCGTAACCATGTGCAGCCGATCCGTTTCTATCGCAAAGTCAATTCTTTCATAAATGAAGCACGACGATATCATGGGAGAAGCCGTCCACTAAAAAGAAATTAGAAAGAAAAAGAAAAGAAAGAAAACACAAAATAATCAAAAGCCTGAGGAAGGACGCCGAAATTGCTATAATAACATTCTACTGCCATTATATAAGGGAAAATAGGGATCCCGATGCGCCGTATGAGATGCCCAAAATTTCCTTGACTGAAACCCCAAAAAACAGAAATGCAACCGTAACCATTCTTCTCAATGTTTCCAACTTTTGAAGGAATTGTAATCTACGTTTGCTCCATGAAAGATACAACTAAGCCAGCTCTGCATTCGGAAGACACTGAGCTTCCAACTGAAGGTGGATGCGCAGTATCACCAATTTCAAGCTGATTTCGGGCAAGCGCAAAAATGATTTAAAACAGCCTCGAAGATCACCGTAAGATCACTTCAGGTGAATCTTCTGTGAATCGGGTAGATTTGTACCCTAAAGTTGCAGATGTACCATTCCCCAGGCATGGAAGTACAAAGTACGAAGTGACATCTAGGATCCCGCAGACTGCTTCAACCAATCCCACTTTTCTCGTCCGCTTCTGGCCTATCTTTTATGCACGTTCAGTGTCTCAGTGCCTCAGTACAGCCGAATGACAAAAATGAGTAAGCCATTAGTTGGCGGATTCTTTTCTTTTTTTCGTCATTGAGGGTCCACTTAGTACCCTGTCTGCATTTTCGAGCGCAAAAACCACACCAGCTAGATGGAGGTGCCTTTAAGAACATGATATGAGGGTTATTGTTTGTCTCTCTGGTAAATTCGTGAGCGGTAGCGCTTGTTTTTCACTCACACCGAATGCAAAGCAAAGCTTTCCTTACCTCGCGACACTTAGAGCATTTCACGCTCAACTTTATCCGCAATCATCCTCAAATCCCAAGGAAGCACATTCTCCGGCAACCTAAAGTTAAAATTTCACAGTTCCTTTCTCGATTAATAGCGAAAGTTACTGGCTCAACTTCTGAATGCTAGCCCAAAACCAATCTCATATAAGAAAATTGCCAACACGAAAAGCACACAAGAGTGGAAGAGGTCAAAAAATTACAGTAGACTGAAGCACAGCCATAATTCCGACCATCTATTCAATATCTGACTAAATTGAAGCCTCTTTGACATGGGATCATAAGTAGGATCGAAGAACAATTCCCAATTGAAAACAGTTAAGAGTAATTCACCCCTTTAGACAACTTAGAGAAGATTAGTCTGTTACTGTGCAATATCGGTTTTGATCATCAGATAAGCTAAACATTGGTAGAATAAAACGTAATCACTTACAAATAGCGCCGTACTGATGCAAATGCTAAAGCACAAAGTGATGAGATGGAAGCTCTCTCAGGAGGAGGTAACCTGCAATGATAAAGGCATCAGAAAAGGCATTCACCAAGTGCGGAAGAAAAAAGCAAATAGGGGATTCAAAATAACTCACGGAATAACCAAAGGATTACTATCACAGTCCAATCTTTCAAATTTTTGACTTTTGAGATCATGAGGTAAGAAAGTGATGCGATTATTATCAACGAATAAATTCCTAAGTCGCATATCGGACATCTGAAAAAGTGAAATGGGAAATTTCGACACCCTCTTCTGGAGAAACCTATTCCACGATTTGGAAACTCACATCTCTCGGTAAGCTGCTCAACTCGTTAAAGCTGAGGACAAGTGTCTGAAGATGTCGCACTTTCACGATGGAGCTGGGCAATGTCTTGAGACGATTCATGGCTAGACTTAGGACTTGAAGCGATTGTGGAAGTGATTCAAAGAAGAGAGGCTAAAATTTCACTTCTAGAGACTTCATAAATATTCGTGCTCTGATAAGTAGTACTGCACTTAAACTGAAAACAAATCAACCAACTAAAACTATGGCCGTGGCTAAATGCAAGAGGCAAGGTCAACGGATTTTGTCTGAGCCCCATCAGGCTTGCTACAACACTGCCCTAGCTAGAAAAAAAACCCACCGGCAATGTTTCTATTTGATTATCTTCCAATGAAAGAACACGTAGGTTGCTTAACCGCGATATCAGCTTTATTTTCACGAAATTTGACGCCTGTCCAAGGCGGTTCCGCGACAAATCCAGCTGATAGAGGGTTGGTAATGAAAACCAGCGGCTGTCGACGCTATCGATACCTAAAAATGAGCACTGCTTTGAGATTTGAA